GGAAAGAGGGGTTCAGATCCGCAACTGCACGGAAAAGCTTTCCAGCCGGATCCGGGGAAGATTTCCTTGCAAGTAAGTCAAGGGGGGGGTGATGGGGAATAAAGTATTGGATCTTGGAAGAGAGAAAGGCGGCTCTCAGCATGGGCTTTTCTCCACTATGTAAATTTTTTTGGGGGGGCGGTTTGGTGGTGGTGGGAATAATCAGTATCTCTTAAGGACAACAGAATTCAGTATAAGACATTGAGGGTCCAGTGTGGCTCTTCAGCATATGAAATGGGCGTTCCATTGCTGGTCATTTTGATTCTGCATAAATAAATAAATAAATAAATGCCGCTGCAGGCATTTTTTCCCGGGGGGGGGTGATGTCTGGACTGGGACAATCAGCTATAACTCTGGCCCCAGCAGAGGAGAGGGGATTAAAAAAAAAAATCAGTTGCCAAGGCACAGAGACCCTAGCAAGGCCCCTGGTGTCGATGGAAACACCACCAATCCCCATGAGTCACAGCAGAAGGCAACTCCCCTGGGACAGGCAGAGACCCACGCCTCCCCCCCCCAATATCACCCTGCCCACATCCAGAAGGCCAGGAGGGACAGAGGGCACCTGGGGACACATCACCATGAGGATCGTGGCCTCAGCAACACTTAAAGTCCACCTTTTTCCCGTTGGGTTATTTCCTTTTCTATTGGCCGCATCCCCTTACCCTCAGTGGTCCACCAGAGCCATTCACAAATTGAGAACATTAGGATTGGACCCGAACCAACTTCTGGAAAGTGGATACGATAGGGCAAAAAATATCGTTCACCAACGTCTCAGAGATATTGAGCAGCAAACATCCTATGCTGTACTCTCGCCTCTTTACAAATCTTTGAAACCCAAAATGTATATGACTGCTCCTTTATATATAGCCAATATTCCCAACCCAAATCATAGATGGGCTTTTTCCAGAGCTAGATTTGACACTTTTCCATCGGCAGTTCTTGCCGGAAGATTTCAACGCATCCCTAGGCATTTGAGATTTTGCTCATGCCCCTCCGAGTCAATTGAGACCCTTTTCCATATATTATTCCAGTGTTCCTACTATGCAGAAGAAAGAGCCCTTTTAATTACACCTATAATAAGGTCATTCAGACACCAAGGACAATTAGTAATCCACTCTGAGGAACTTTTGCTGAAACATCTATTGGAGGACAAATTCATTGCAATATCAAGGAATGTTGCCAAATTTCTCTTTATTGCATTTACAAAGCGTAAGCTCCTCAATGTTCCTCATGATATCTCTTCTCTGTAATGCTTTTTGCTTTTGTTCTGTATGCTATTTTATGGGTCTCTGACCGTAATAAAATGAATGAATGAATGAATGAATGAATGAATGAATGAATGAATGAATGAAGTGGCCTCAGCAACAGGACCCCTGCAGTGTTCCCTCTAAGCTGAGTGTGAGCTAGCTCACAGTCCTTTAGCCTCCTGCTCACACAGTTTTGCCTTCACTCAGGAAGGATGGCCCCAGAGCAGACTAATCTATGCAGCAGCCAAATCGCTCGCTCACAACTTCAATGCCAGTAGCTCATAAAGTAGAATTTTTGCTCACGAGACTCCACAGCTTAGAGGGAACATTGGACCCCCTGTAATAAGAGCATAAGAGCCCTACTGGATCAGACCAATAGTCCATCTAGTCCAGCCTCTTGTCTCACCAAATGGCCATATGTAAATCATACAACTGTGGTAAAGAAGCATTCATAATTTTTTATCTCAAGATGTTGTACAAAACATTAATTTCTGAAGTGATTATTACAGGAAATAATACAATAGAAACAGAAGCAAAAAGGCGGGACGGTGGTCTCCGGATTGGTGCTGCCGTTTCAACAATATGTCTTCCTCTGACCAAAAATTGTGCCAGTCAACACAAAGAATGGAGTTCCTCAAGCAACCAAAAGCTGCATACTCATGAGTTTTCTAACTCTTTCACATAGCTTGAGAAGCAACATCTCTAATTCTAGAAAAAAGTTCTCCCAAAAGGGCTTAAGTCAAACTCCCGCCTTTTCGCTTCTGTTTCTATTGTATTATTTCCTGTAATAATCACTTCAGAAATTAATGGTTTGTACAACATCTTGAGATACAAAATTGTGAATGCTTCTTTATCACAGTTGTATGATGTATATATTGTAAGTTCTCTGGACTGTGACCATCTTGTTGTTTGTCACAAAATGGCCAACCAGTTCCTCCAGATGGCCAACAACAGGGCAGAGAGGCCGAGGCCTTCCCCTGATGTTGCCTCCTGGCTCTGGGAGTCAGAGGCTTAGTGCCTCTGAATGTGGAGATTCCCCTCAGCCACCATGGCTAGTAGCCATTGAGAGACTGATCCTCCATGAATCTATTTACTCCACTATGAATTTATTCCTCGGATATGACCGATACTCCCTCTAAACTGTGGAGTCTTGTGAGCAAGAATTCTACTTTGTGAGCTACTGGCATTAAAGTTATGAGCGAGCCATTTGGCTGCTGAATAAATTAGTTTGCTCTGGAGCCATCCTTCGTGAGCTCAGACAAAAATGTGTGAGCCGCAGGCTAAAAAACTGTAAGCTAGCTCACACAAACTCAGCTTAGAGGGAACACTGGATATGACTACATGCTCTGGCAGTGAATTCCACATTTTAATTACTCTTTGTGTACAGAAATATTTCCTTTTGCCTTTCCTGAATCTACTGCTCATTAGCTTGACTGGGTGGCCTCATGCTCTAGTGTTTTGGGAGATGGAGAAAACTTTCTCTTTGTCCACTCTCTGGTGTGGCGGGGCTTGTAGCTCCATGTACTTTAGTTTCCTGTCTGCCTTTCAGGTATATTCCCCTGTCCCCCTTTATACCAAGTAAGTAAAGGAATCTTTTTGCATTCTCAGGCGGCCCAAAAGAAGGGGAAGGAGATGGAAGGGCAGGACCCAGAAGGACCAGGAATTGGCAAGAGATCAAGGAAAGACCCCCCGTCCCATCCAGGTGGGGAGTGGTGTTGAATTCTGGGAAAGAGCGGTGCCAGAGGTCCTGCATCAGGACACCGGGGTCTCAGAGGAACATCGCCAGTGTTTCCGGCAGTTCTGCTACCACGAGGCCGCTGGGCCCCGGGAGGTTTGCAGCCAGCTCCATGGACTTGGCAGCCACTGACTGGAGCCGGAGAGGCGCTCCAAGAAGCAGATCCTGGACCTGGTGATCTTGAAGCAGTTTCTGGCCATCCTACCCGAGGAAATGCAGGGCTGGGTCAGAGGAAGCGGGCCAGAGACCAGGCAATCTTCAGGCACTAGAATTGGTTCAAACAAAATTCCTGAGATCCCTATTTAACACTCCAAGATGTACTTCCAATGTCATGGTGAGATAAGAAGGCGGTCTCAATACAGTCGAGCTGAATATTT